TCTGGGAAGAGATCATAGTAGAGAAAGCCCTTCTAAATCCACCATTTACTCAGTATTATATTCTCTGGATGAAAGTTAGCATACAATTAGTAGTGGCTAACTTCACTTGCCCCATCGTCTCTTGATCTGTGTTGTTGCAAAGCAGTGGTTCCCAAGATTTTTTCTCTTTTTTGGGGGGGAATGAAAATTTGCTCTCTCCTCCAATTTGCAGGCCCTAGTTTCTATATTCTTAATACTTGATATAATGCAAAAATATCACAATTATAAACTTGGTCAATAATTATTTAGAACTATTTATACTGGGACTCATGCATACAATTACAATTAATCCATAATAACATTTTAAATTTTGAAATCATATCTATATTTGGCATATGAATTTTTTGAAACTGTTTCTAAATCTTTGATTGTCTTTCAATCATTCTGCATAACCTTCTGTCCTCTCCTGCCACACATATGAAGCATGCTACACAATTTGGGAACCACTGTTGTAAAGTATCCACTTATCATTGCATTTTGTTTCACTGTCTATTTTCTTTCAACTTTTTTGAAAGAGACACACCAAAATAACTGTCTTAACCAAGCTAACTGGTCAAATAATTTTAAAAATTAGTTTTGAATTTTTTGTGTATGTTAGCTCTATTATTTTGGATTTGATTTTCAACTAAAATTTTCATTTAATCATCATCATCACTCTCAACTGATCTATCCAACTGTGGAGTACCATTCAGTGAGATATCACCAGTATAACATTTGAAAAACTGATTTTGACACATTTATTCATTCATTCCCATGACTAGAACCTGAGTTAATTTTTTCCCTTCTTAAAATAAAGAAAAAATAAATAAAATGGTGCATATTATTTTCTTCCATTTTCAGTATTAGAAGTTCTTAAATGCATAATGATCTGACACCTTCTGCAATTATGGCATGATTAAATATTACAAGCTAGATGGTAATAATTACTTGGAGTCATGCTGAATAGTTAATGCATGATTAAGGGTGTTACCTGCTTGAAACTTCCCCACCCACACCACTCACAATAAAGTGTCAGAAAACTTGATGATTTGCTTGCTCTAACAGGTATAACTGCATATTATCAGTGAATGACTTGTATTCTGTTTTCAGGGAAATCCTAGATAGAGAGTATCTATTGAGAAAAAGAGGTTAGAAACCCTAAACCATCAGTTTGGAGAGAGGTTGGTCAAGCCATGGACAAGAAAACAGGTTGATACTTCTTCTATTGACAAACAATACAGTAATTCAAGTTGAAAGGTTTCAATAAATTATTTTCTCAAAAGAAATATTTAATAATCCAGAATAGTATTTCCATCTAGCCAGAAATAAATAAGATTAAATATCCTGAGAGTTAAATTAAAGAAAAATACACTATGGCTCAATATTGCCTTTTCCCAAATGTAATGTAGGAATAGAAAAAAGATGCATAATGTTTTAAATGTATTATTGTGAATAATAAATTTTCTATATAAAGAAAATTATAAATAAATCACTTGAAAAAGGCAGTTTATAAAATCTTGAATCTTGGTGTATGGTAGGTGTTAGTGGGAATGAGGTTATTACATGGATGAATGATAAATTGCTTTTGTTTAGATTCTTAATACAACCACAACATGCTGTCAGTTGCTGCTATTCTTCCTGGAATGGTTAGAACACCAAAGTGCAATTATTGTTGAACAAAACAAACTGACTATCTAACACCCGGTCAAAGAAGCAGGTACAGATCCATCAAAGAGATGGGACATAAAAGTTCCGTTGTTTGCTGTTTGGAAAACAGCTTGCATAGTCATATTCTTCCTCACTTACTTCACAGTGTTTTCCAGTTGTAGCAGAGCACATATAATTCAGCAAACATTGTACTTAACCATAATAAAATATCCTGACAAGCAAGAGAACATACAACTCCTTGTCTCTCTTATTTTTCCATTCAGCACACCCAGTTTTGTTTCCTAGAAGGGCTCAGAGAAGGAGAAAACCCAACAAGAGCAGTGTACAAGTTCTTATGTAAACTTTTCTGTCACCTCAACCAATAGGTCATGTAAGCAAAAATAAATACAATGTGGGTGTGAATGCACAGTTGCATTGCTCATTCTTATTGAATGGTTAGCAACTATATCTGTTCATTGGATAAAAGACCAAAGCAGAGTAATAGTCATTTAGGCAATTAGAGTCTTATGATACAGTCAAAAGTATGCTTTTTTAAGGAATTTACTTAAAACTAAACATTCCTAATGCCAAACACACAGAATAAGATTTTGTTCAAACTACTGAACTCTTTCCTTATTTTAACTTAGAATGTTAATAATTCTTCAAAAAGATAATACCCTTATACACGAATTTTGATAAGTTCAAATTGGCAGCTGCTTTAAAAAAAGATCTACTTTCTGTTGTTAACTGAGGCAAGGAATGGCTTGTTAATTTTAACACCTCCAAAACTAATGTGCCCTCTTTTAATAAACCATTTTTACTATCCATCAGCATGGCTTATGCTAACCTCCTGCAGAGAGATTCATTGTGCCTTCTCGGACTAATATTTTTCACTGGCATCAAGTAGAAAGGATATATTGAATCAATTGTTAGGTCTACTGCTAGGAAAGTTGTTTCCCTGTCCTGCTAGACAGTTTTTCTTGCCACTATCTTCCATATTTATAAGTCTACCATTCATCCTTGCTTTGAATACTGCTGCCACATCTGGTCTGGTTCTCTTACTATATGTTTAGAGATTCTTGATAAAATTGAAAAAAGAATCTGCAATATTATTGGCCCTGATCTGGTATCCCAGCTTAAGTCACTTTCTGACCGCCGTAATGTAGCTTCCCTGTGCCTTTCTATAAATATTTTCATTGTAATTGTTCTGCTGAACTTTCCTCTATGATGCCTAGACTTTATGAATTTAAGCAGTAAGATCTCATCATTTTACAGTTAAAATGGCTAAATGTAACCATAAGTTCTATGCTAACAGTTTTGTCTATTGCACTTCTCACTTGTGGAACTCTCTTCTGGCCTTTTGCTTCCAGTCATGTTTGACCTTCAAAAATTTAAATGTAATGTGGAGCATTATCTACTGTCTTTTTAATTCCTAATCTTTTATTGTTCTCTCTCTCCTTAATAATGTTTTCTTTTTCTCAACAGTGTTTTCTCTAACAGTCAGTAAACCCATGCAACTTAGTGGCTTTATTCCCTTGCTTGAAATGAAATGATTAAAAAAAGACAATACTCTCATACATGATTTTTATAGATTGACATAGACTCAATGGTAAGCAAGGTTTAAAACCTCTTCTTTATAGGCGATCATAGCTCTCCACAATTTCTTATCCTTTGTAGCTCTTTTGTCTTTTTCTTATTTTTCCTAAACCCTATTCTGCTATCAATTTACTCAAGCTCACTAAGAATGTTATGCATTGTTTCCCTCTGTTCTTCTTGCCTTCAGTCTGTCCTGTGAGTATCGGATTTTCCAAGCCCTCTTTCTATATTATGTGCTCTAGAAATTTCAACTGCCTCTTCCTGACTTTAAGTATAAGTTTTCTTTTTGTTTCCATGTTCACTAAAACTTCATTGCTGCTCACATATTCGATCCATTATATCCCCCGCAGCCTTCTGTAGAATCACATTTCTGTTGCTTCAAGTCTCTTCATCTTTGAGGAAATTGTTCAGCATTCACTGCCAGATAGGAGGACAGATATCACATAATAGTCCAGTACCATTTTCTTTGTCTTTAATGAAGTTTTTCTTTTTCTTAATATTTTGCTCAGCTTTTGGAATGCATCTTTGGTTATAAAAATGTGCCTCTGGATCTAAAACTTACAAGAAGCAAAATACTGTATGAAGCAAATACACAAATGAATAAACTGTAGAGTTGTCACATTTCAAAATATATTTAAAAAATATATCCAAAAATATAAAAAAAATATAAAAATATGCAAAAAATATTTTAAAAAAAAATGTATTATATTTTGAATAATGATGCATAATCATAAAATCAATAATAATTTGATTGACAAAGAAAAGATATGGTTGACACTACTTTGAGGATGGATGGATTATTGCTGCCATATCTTGTCTGGAGCTGCCCAATCCTCTCTTTTCAGCCTCAACAGATTACAAAAGTGTTTATTTTGCCTTATGGGTTATTATTTTTTGCTCTACAACTTCTTTCCTTACAGATGTAACATTACATGTTTATCACTACTCTATCACTATTTCTATGGAAAATGTTTAGACAAGCTACATTCTTCAGTTTCACCATTTTAGAAATTTACAGCTCAGCCCTGCCATGCCATTAAAACAGGAATGAACCATCCTCATTCCCTCAAATTAGTAAGAAGGAGTTTCCATTTGGACAGATTCTTTCTAAGAACTTCTGCTTTGTGGAATAGACACCCAAGAATATGCTTCACTGAATACTACAATATTAACCTCTTCATGTCTAGGGTCATTTGTTATCTAGCCTATATATCCTCATAATTTGTGATTCTTATATCCATAAAAGAGCTCCATTCAGTAATCCTCTACCTTCAGTGGGTCTTGGGCCTTATATTGGCGAAACAATAGTGTAAAAGGAAAATATTAAGAAAATCATCCACACTTTCTTTTTATTCAAATTTTGTTTACTTTCAAATGATTTTCTTCATCCCCTTCATATATAAAAAACTTTTGATCAGTTTTATTTCCAAACGTCTATATAATGAATGTATGAATAAAAAATAAGTGTTCCCAGTTTGATAAACAAGATATTCAAATTTATATTGATCTCTAGAAAGAGGGAAACTCTTTTTATTATGCTTTCTATTTGGTGTTTATTTTTTTATCTGGAAATTTGAATTGTATTTTTCAGTTTTGGGGTTTTTTTTTCAGTGTTATCGATGACTGAATTATCATTCTGAGATAAAAGAAGCAACCTTATTTTTCTCCTTATTAGGAAAGCTATCTTTTAATTTCTGGTTACCATCAATTCATAAAGAATATTTTGCTCGATTTTCCAGATGAAAAATTTACTGACCGAGAATCAGATGATGAAGAATCGGATGATGAAGATGATGAGGTGTAGTGTCTAAATTTGTTTCATTTACTCCTTCAGTGAGTGTTTGGTATTGTATTTACCTTATCATGATGTTTACTAGGTTCAAAGTAATGTTTTGTATTAAGCAGGTATAAAAGCTCTCAGTGTCATCTTGGGAATATTGTTTGACAAATCTTAGTGTCTTTAAAGTTTACTCAGCTCTTTATTGATGGCACAATTAGTCATTTGCAATATGTCCTATTTGCAACCTTCAGAAAAATAATTCAGAAGCTAAGACAGTAGTTTTCACATGAACTTATAAAAGGAACTGTCATCAGTAACTAAACACTTGTCTTTCTCTTATTGCTTGTCACAAAAAAAAGTCATTTTTAGACAAATTGTTTTTGTTATAATGTGTGAAGTTTGTATTAAAAATAGACTTTAAGTGTTTTCTTTTTTAAAAAATTAAGCTGTCTCTGTAAATCAAGAATAGAGAAATAATTGCTATTCTTAGAATCCCTTCTCTGCAAAATAATTTTTTTGGTTCAAAAAAAAGTTGAATTTTTAATTTTAAAATGAAAAAGTAAGACAGACTTGTGGTCATGATGCCACTATTCAAAATCAGTTCATAAATTCATATATGACTTCAGAGACAAATAGATATTTTTCTAAGAATTTTATATATGTGCACTTATTTATTAAATGTAAAAACCTTTGGACAGATTATCCACAATTTTGATCCCAATGTACAGCATCTTATTCGAAAATCAGAAAAATGCAGTAAAAAATTAAACAGACAGACCACATTGGTTGAATTTAACAAAACTTTTGTAAATACATACTTACATATATATATATATATATATATATATATATATACACAAGTTCCATTAAAATAGACTGACAAGGTACTGGGGTTAAGTTTTTAATTTCATTTTTTTGTGTTCTTGTGTTATAAGAAAAATGAAATAAAAACTTCACTGCAGTGAACTGTCAGTTGTTTTTAATGAAACTTGTATAAAAGAGGGATTGCCACCCAAATGAATAATATAATATATATATATATATATATATATATATATATATATATATATATATATATATATATATATATATATATATATATATATATACACATATGCATATGTATTTATAAGAATAAAAACAAAAAGAAAATCAGAGGATGAAAGGCATTGGTAAAAAATCTTTTCCTTTTGTCTTTATTCATATTGTCTTTGTTTTTATTTATATCTGAATTTTTATATGTACACACACACACACACACACATAGAGAGAGAGACAGACAGACAGACAGAGAGAGATTGTGTATTTGAGCAGAAATCCCTCTTTTATGCAAATGACAGACAAGGTGTAGCTGTTGAGTTTTTTATATAATTTCTCATGTGTTCATATAATGTTTTTCTATTCAAGACATAAAATGTATAAAAATTGTCCCAATCTTTTCTAAGCACTTACAGTGATACTTTTAGCCATTATCAAGGATCAATTTTATTTTACTTTTTACTGAAAATATGCATTGTTTTATGTATGTATGTAAAGTTATAGGAATATTTTATTTTCAGAACACAGCCAGCACATTGCATATTTGATATTATTTAGTGTTGGTTCTTTCTTTTTTATTAATAATGCTTCTATTATTTTTAGCTTTTTTGTACATGTGGATGATGCAATTATATCTGTATTATCAACACGAATGTTACAAATTGAGATTGGTAGGTTTCCATGTGTATTTAAATGAGACCCAATTGAGATATAGTCAGAGAGATGTAACATGTTAAACATGGTGTAGTAAATCCAATATAATTATTTATGAATTTGGATTGGTCACGAACACAGCTCCTTAAGGGACATGTAAATTTGTAAATAATATTGGTTCTCTGTTATGTAGATCTTGCAGTTGAATTATTATTTTTGACAGTTTTCAATTTATAGTAATAAATAATTTAATTTTCTTGTTTTTGTCAACTGTTGTGTTTTTTTTATGATGTTTCTAAGAGAAGATTTCTCATGCATATAACTACTATACATTTGATTTTTGTAGAAAATGTTAATGTTATATATATATATATATATATATATATATATATATATGCACATACACAGAAGGTGTCCTCAAAATTTTGGGGCTTGACCCACTTCTTAGAATCTGTTCAAATGACAACAGAATTATTTTTAATGCTATCTAGTGTGTGCAAAGAACTTCTCTCCATTCCTTTTTGTACATGTATGTTTGTTTTTATATATATATATATATATATATATATATATATATATTCATGGAGGATTGAAGTTTAAGTACAATAAATTCGACCTTGCTGACTGTATGCTCCTTTGTGGCCAAATCAGTAAAGGCACGTCAAGCTAAATGACGGTTCCATATGGGATACCGGTTCGAATCCTGTCGAAGGACAAATATTTTCTGTGAAAATTTCTCAGACATTCAGGCCGGTAAATGTTGTTTAATACTGTTATTATAAACAGAGCATTTACTTAAATATTTGTATTTATAAAAAAGAATGTATAGACATAAAAATGTCTTAAAATAATTGTCGGACTTTGTCCATTTCATAATGTGTATATATATATATATATATATATATATATATATATATATATGTAACCCAGTTTCACTGGGAACACACATAATACACTAGGTAAAAGGCCAGAGTGCAACAATTTGATTCTCTCTAAAGAACACAGATACTATCTTCTAAGACAGCTGTGCTAATCCATATATAAATAACATCCATAAGTTTTTATGTCTAATATGTTAGTATAGTATATTTTATAATTATTACTGATATTATCTATGTTCTCAATTAATAAAAATTTGTAGCTTTAGCATTTAAAAGCACTTGAAAGTTAAAAAAAAAAAATTTAATCTGATATACAAATGTCATGTTGGAAGCAAAATGTCTTAATTACAAGTGTTGAGCTTTACTGATTTGTGAAAATAGTAGTTAATTTGTATCGCTAACACCTTAAATGCAGTGATCAAGAAGAGAAGCCTTTTCTCATTTTAATGTTGACAACAGTCATTTAACCATCATTTTAGTTTCAACAAATTAACTTAGTCAATAGCACTAAAAGAAAATAACTGAGTCTTCCCTCGTTTATTAAATTTGTGTACACTGTTGACTTTATGTTTATTTGTTTTTAATGAATTATGTTAAAAAAGACAAAGATAAAGTAAACTATTCCAACAATGAATTTTAAATATTAATATTTCTTTAAAATATACCAATTTTGATTAATTCTGTTGAAGTTACAATAATACTTTATGTTTGGTATGAATAAAATACTTTTAATTATTGAATTAGGCTATGGTTATTTTTTTATTAGTGTAAGTATTGGTTTCAGGTAAGAAAAGAGCAAATAAAATGGAAACTATGAATTAAAAGTTAACTTTTAACAAAAATTTGAAACATAATTGTGACTCCCTCCTTTAAAATGGTATAATGAATGCTGTTAATATTTTTAGTTGCTTTTCTCTGTTTTTATTATATTTAAATGTTCAACTGCTGAATTTAAAGTGTACTCATTATTAACTCACCAGTTTTGTACTATTTTGACATTAGCAATCTATGATATTTTTGAGTGGCAGGAAGATTTGGAAATGGAACCAGATCTAGACAAAGATGATATGGTTAAACCAAACAGTCCTATTGGTCTTTATGGAGAAAAATTGCTTACATCTGATTATCTTCTAAAGAAAAAGGTAATTTAGGACATTTCATATTCTCATGTTTTTGAAAGGATGTATCCTTGTTGAATGTTTGTATAGTTAAACACATTTTATATATAAAAGCTTTGGGCATTAACATTTAATCTTATCCTTTTAAAGATTAAATAAGATTGTTGAAATATTGAAATATTTACTTTATTGTATTTTATTAATTTAAAAAGATTCTTTTTATTAATTTTTGGTTGTCACAATAAAATGCAAAACAAGAGAATTTATTTTCAGTATTTACATTGTTCAGACTGCTGTCTTCATCTTTCTGGTCGTATTCACAACACTTCAGCCATTATACTCTCTTGTCTTTTTCATGTGATATACATTGGAATTTCAAACTGAACCCTTTATTTTGTCCACCAGGGTAGATTGTTCTAGTTCCACGTGCCATGCCTTTTCTGGATATTTCAGTTTCAGTTATTTCCCTTTAGTAACACAACTCTCCAAGTTTTTGTTCACCTCTGCTATTGCCAGGTATTGAAGTCAAAATTCTCTGGATCAAGTCACTTGATTCCTTCAAACAATGCTTTTATCCACTGAGGTTCAATTCAAAATTCCAATGTATAATACCTGAAGAAGGCCGAAATGTACAACAGCCGAAATGTTGTGAATATGACAATAAAGATAGAGGCAACAATCTGAACAATGCAAATAGGGTAAATACTTACAATGCAAATCAGAAATATAGACAGAAGAGAATTTACGATTCATGTTAAGCTAATGAATATGTTTTTAACAGTTTGCTATTCTTTTTTATATGTGGGTAGCATAAGTTATCAGCACAGAAATTGGAATCAACAAATCGGTTTCAAATCCTGGCTTAGTCTATGGCATTCACTTTCACACTGATGACTTTGTGAAAAGCATGAATCCCTTTCTTTCCACTTCAGCTATAGGGATAAACAGTAGTATAAACTGGGCATGTTAACCTTTCTTGATGCCTTCTCCACCTAGTGGAGAAGGCATCAGGAAATGAATGCATTATTTTTCATAAATAATAAAGAAAGAAATCTCAGAGCCATGATCATTTACATCCCAAATGGACATGGCATTTAAAAAGATACCTTCTATTCTATGTTGAATGACTACTTTGGTTTAGATATTTAGAAACAATTCTTTGTTTAATATCTTTGTTAGTAGTAGCATCAGGTTAGTAGAAAAATTATACTCTGGTATAAATAATTCTTATTTTATATATAATATATATATTATTATATATAATTGTTTGCCTGTCCTTTATTATTAACTTTATTGAAAACTTGTGAAGCATTCTGAAGAGGAAAATTTACATTTGACAGCAATTTTTTTATGATCAACTTTCAAATGTTATTTTAAATGCTGTACAGCCTGTTTCATATAAAGTAATAGAACAGCTCACAAAGTCAATCAATGAACAAAACTTCTAAAACTGTTTTCAGAGCATGGAGCATATATTTTTCATTAATGTTGTCTTTGTAACCTAGTTTAAATTTTTGGTTCAAAACAAACTTTCTAAACTTTGCACCTTATCCACATGCATAGATTTCAAGTTTACTACATTTTCTGTCTCTCTTTTGAGCAATGCACCATCCAAATATATACATTTTTTTTCCTGTCATCTATCAGCATTGATTAGTGTTTATGTTTGTGGATGCTGGTGCACTGTGCAATACAAACAGATATTCTCCAGACCTAAGCTGAAAGATTCCATTTAAACACAAAAAGACAATTCTTTATTACCTTCTAAGATTTTGCAAAAATATAACACTGTTGGGCTAAACTCTCACAATAAAATGCACAAGAAAGTTATTTTCTAGTACTTTTTAGATAACTGAATCAAATGTTCCTAATTATAATTGCATATTCTTTTTTAATTATTAAAAAAATTGACAAATAATTCCATATTCTTGCAATCAATATTAACATATCAATTTACTATCAATAATTGCATATTGTTTTTTTCACAATAATTTTGATATTCTTTTATAAGTTTGATATGCTTTCATATATAGAATTTTCATATCGTTTTTTATTCACAATAATTGCATTTTTTTTAATTATGTATATACCTGTATTTCTTTCTATATCTATCAGTAAATCTCTCAACATTTTTCTATATCTATATTTGCAAAAATATGAAGAAATTATTTTAATTATATGAAAACTTGGTCAAATATATTCTATCATGTGTGCTAAGTTAAATTTACTGCTTAAATATGCAGTATGCATGCATATTTTATATAACATGTACACATTTTCATATATGTTTACTCTTCTTAACTTTATTGTATTTTTATCATCACAAACAAAAAACTGGGCCTAAAAATTTAAGAAAAGGAAGATAGAAAAGCACAGTAAAAAAATCAACACTAATATGGTCATCTGGGGAGCAGAAAAGGAGCTAAATTATCATTTATTAACCAAAAACATCCTAAAATAGGTGAAAGGATTATATGTTAGGATACTTAAACCCAGTATTGGCATCTTACTGGTTTGCACCATTTCTTACAAACTGATTCTTAAAATTTTAAAAGCTTAAAAAGCTTAAAAGCTTAGCAAACCGGTTGTTGAATTATCCAATGATAATCTTATATATTAATAGCCTATATATAATAACTTGCTGTAAGTTCATTAGAGGCTGAAAGAGGGTTTTTTGTGATTAACATAATTTATTCTGACAAAAGAAATTCTCTTGAAGTTAAAAATGAGGCAAAACTTCTAGTCATAAATTTGATAGATCTTCCATTGGATCTTTGGAACTGCAGCGATTCAGTTTGAATGTGGTTAAGAAACCATAACACAGCCGATGACACAAGATTCAAAAAGCATCATACTTCTGAACAGAATTATGATGAGAACAGAATTTCAGTTTGAAAATGTCTTAAATAAATGTTTTCTATTAAATTATCAAAATGTTTTAATTCTTTTTGATACTATATAAAGTGATTTGTTGCCATTCTCAGATTGAAAAAGAAAATAAACAGAACATGTTCTTAAATATTACCTGCCTTTATAGAACTGGTTCCCGGAAATTTGAGATGCCATTATTGCTTAAACCTATTTAAACTTGCTGAATATGTGATAAAAATTTTATTTCATGTTAGGACAATTGAAAAAAAAGAGTTGAGTGATGAAAATAATCTGTGAGATCATTGTAAAGAGATATTTTTCAATAAGGTTCTCTATCTCCATTAATCTTTCTAATCGCTATGATATTGTTCACTTTCATATTGAGGATTGTGAAGAGGAATATAAGTTTAATTCATCACTAAACAAAACCATTAGCGGATGGCCTTCAATTACTCAACAAAAATAAAATTGAACTGGAAACATTAATCCAAACAGAATTTTTAACAAATGCATTAGACTGAAATTTAGAAGTGAAAAATATACAATATTAGTGATGCACAAATTAAACCAGGAATCAAAAAAAGAAGATTGGAATGAGTAAATTATCTAAGAATACTGAATGTCAAAGATGACTGCAAATATTTTGAAAATGGAATCAGATGCAATAAAGTTAGAGCAAATAAAATAAAAATTAAAGGAAATATTTCAGGATAATGAGATTTTAGCAATATGCTTAAAAAGCAGTATTTTTATAAAAGATTTTATGAAAAAAATCCATAGATATTCTGAATTCTTTTTTAAGTAAATAAAATAACTGAAAGATTTGAGACAGAGAACAAGAAAATTAATGATCATGCATAAAGACTCACACTATAATGTCAAACAACTGCAAGAAAAGAAAAAATGAAGGAAGATCTCATCAGCATTGAAGATTATTGATTCAACTATTAAAGTTCTTGCAGACTAACCATGAGTTAAGAAATGGAGGAAAAAACTGTAGCAAAACTGACAAATGGTTAATAAATAACAAATTGGAAAATAGAACATGAAGACGCTAAAAATGGGAACAAAGATAATTTTATAAGAACAGAAGAGAAAAAAATGATAAGGACATTTCTGTACCAAGAACAATTGAAAAGTGAATTTATAAATGTAGCTCAACACATGTATATTAGAACAAAATATATCAAAGGCAAAGCTGACATGGAACAATAAACTAGTCAATGCTTGCCTTTACAGGAAATGGATTGTGCAAATGTCTTAGATTTAATCATGTAAATAGATTGTCTAGAAAGTCCTGATGAGATTTTTAATTTTGTGAAATTTAGTTCAAACAGCATATTCAGATCAGATCTCATCATTATAAACAAACAAAAAAAGACAGAAAATCTGTTAGTGGATATAATTGTTCCAGCAGATTACAATTTGAAACTAGGGAACTGATAAAATAGATAAATATGTAGATTTTTAGGGAACTAAAAGTAATAATTTGATAATTATAAGTTTGTATAATTCGAATCCACTGGAGATTCTTGCAAAAAGATAAAAATTGCCTATCTCAGGAAGAAATGAAATTGGTAAAAAACCCAAGGAGAGTAGAATTTATTAAAGACATGAAAATAATAATACTTTTTTATTTCCTCTTCTTTCATGTCTTGTATATTTTACTTAATTTCTTCAAAGGCAATTTGTCTATTGAATTTTCTACTTTTTGAAATGTACATAGGTTTTATTTCTTTTTCTCTACTTTCTTTCTTGATAATTAAATCATGATAAATGAATTTGAATTGCATAAACTTTTTCTTCATACAAATTTGTATCTTTTTCTATTTTAGAGTAAAGTATTTATTTCTCAGTTAAAATGAATGCACCACAGTTTTAGAGACACTGCATTAATAATCAGTTGTTTTTTTAATAATTATAGTATATAAACTAATGACTTGAAACTATTATCTTCAATATCACTCTGAAATTTACAGAATTTGTTCTCATTATTTGTTAATTTATATTCATAGCATGCAGACCATGTCTTAGAACGGCACCATCCACTGCAACGCCCAATTACTCCAAGTCAAGTAAAAGGCTTTGATGGACTTTCATTTGCATCAAGGTTTGTTTTAATTTACTCAAATCTTCTAATCATGTAATATACAACAAATAAAAAATCATACTGAATAGAAATAAAAACCAAATAAAATTTTAGAGAATTTTTCAAAAACAAAACAGAAAATTAAAACCATTTAGTAAATAAATTTAAGTAGGAATTAAAATTTAGAATCTATTTAATTTCAGTAATAACGAGTTTATGATATAATTATGAAATGCTGGCAGTAAGCATTTATGCATTACTCAGTATGAATCTGATTGTCATACTCCTCGTACAAAATATCCCAATTCATTATTTTGCTGAAGAGGCAGTATTTTGACCAAAGTAGCACTGAATAGTCGACAACATAGCATGCAAGATGCCTAAGCAAGTGTAAAGTCATGTCTACTACACATAAAATACACACATAATCAAAATTATATGTACATTGAAAAGAGTAACATACACACATGCACCTTATAACAGACTAACTTTGCCTTCAATGCATCCTTACTGTAGCTCCACTACATTGAGTAGGGATGTGTTGTGGGGATAAGATAAAAATACAAAATAAAATAAAAATACAAAATAAAATAAAAATACAAAATTAAATAAAAGTACAAAATAAAATAAACGTAAAAATCTCCCAGGAGTCCTCTGACAGGAAAGACAATTTACGCATGTGCAAAAAAAAAGAGAGATTTCCTGGCGCCAAAAATAAACTAGAAGAATCTAGCTCTTTCTCTGTTGGACCTTTCACTGGTGAACACGTGCCAACTGTCCGGGAAGGAAATTCCCCAACAGGAGGTCGTTGGAATCCAAAAGAAGGAAATAAAATCAGTGTCCTAAACTGTCCCTCTTTTGTCTTTTCGTTGTCTATTTATTTCAGTGACGAAGGCAATTCAACAAGTTTTGGATGTTTAGGTGAAAGAATCAACCCAGCAATAATAGCCATAACATCCATATGTCTCAAGTTAAAATTTGAGTTGTTGCAAATGTAGTGTTAGTCATTTTGATTGTCTTTCAATGTTACTGGATTGAATACATCCAGCAAAAATGGAGAAAATTTTGCCAATATAAAAGAAAAAAGGAAGAAAGAGAACAGTTCTTGTGGTTCGTTTCAAATAAGTTGCTGAAATCTGAATATGGCGAAAGAAACATTCCAAAAGCTAGGCAGAGTATTACGAGACAGAAGGATTTTGTTGGTAACAAAGAAAAGCATATTGAACTGCTATGTGATATCTATCCTTCTTTATGGCAACAAATGTTTGATGGTCTCTTCAAAGATGAAGAAGAAACTCAAGGCAATGTAAGTATGGTTCTACAGAAGAATGCTATAAGGATACCACAGATAAGGTTTTGGAGAGGATACAAGGAGGGCTTAGACAATCTGATATTCAGAGGGAGGATAGAGATAAAGAGAGACAAGGGAAAGCAATGCATGACATACCTAGCGGGCTTAAGTAAGTGGATGATGTAACAAGGTTTGGGAAAAGTAGCAAAAGGACAAAACATATTGAGAGCGACAAGGGATAGTGGGAAGTGGAGAGCCATGATCACCTACATCCTGAAGGGACACAGCACATAAAAGAAGAAGAAATAATTCAATCACCTGTAGACTTGAACTATATATTTAACATGCTATCCTGATTTGTTTTTGGTTTCTATCAGAAATTCTACTTTTTAGCAGTATGATTCAAATACCAACATTCTTGTTTGTTGCTTGCATATTCCTCAGATACATGTGTTATCCATAATGTTTGTGTTGCATCAATGTGTTTTGACTTTATTTATAGCACTCAGAAATTGGCATAAATAGGCGTGACTCAAAATGGATGCCAGTGTGAGATCAAATTTTAAATTTTGAATGTTGCTACTCTTGACAAAAAAGCAATCTACTCTTCACTGTACTTTATTATACTGTCAGTCATATTGTTAAATTGGGAAGAGAGAATGAAGATAAAAGTTTCCAGAAATCTGATTTCGCATAGTCATAAACATCCATCTCAAAAATAAAATTCAAATTTAAATTCTTTTCACTAAATATATTTAAATGACATGTATTACATATATATATATACATACACTGTACATGTTATAGGAGGTACTTAACTTTAATCCTGTACAGTAGCACAGTTTGGTTTTAAGTATACAAAGGTTGGCTGGAAAGTTCATAAGTTAACCAACATATAAATGTAAGCAGACACACCAGTTGGTAGACTAAAAGACATGCAAGTGAACCAGAATACAACAGTTAGCCAACAAGTGAACAAGAATACAACAGCTAGCCAACAAGTGAACCAGAATACAACAGATGGCCAACAAGTGAACCAGAATACAACAGCTAGCCAACAAGTGAACCAGAATACAACAGATGGCCGACAAGTGAACCAGAATACAACAGCTAGCCAACAAGTGAACAAGAATACAACAGCTAGCCAACAAGTGAACCAGAATACAACAGATGGCCAACAAGTGAACCAGAATACAACAGCTAGCCAACAAGTGAACCAGAATACAACAGATGGCCGACAAGTGAACCAGAATACAACAGCTAGCCAACAAGTGAACCAGAATACAACAGCTGGCCAACAAGGAAACCAGAATACAACAGCTAGCCAACAAGCCAACAACAGCTGAACAAGAACCAGAATACAACAGCTAGCCGACAAGTGAACCAGAATACAACAGCTGGCTGACAAGTGAACCAGAATACAACAGCTGGCTGACAAGTGAACCAGAATACAACAGCTGGCCAACAAGTGAACCAGAATACAACCAACAAGGAACCAGAATACAACAGTGACAAGAACCAGAATACAACAGCTAGCCGACAAGTGAACCAGAATACAACAGCTGGCTGACAAGTGAACCAGAATACAACAGCTGGCCGACAAGTGAACCAGAATACAACAGCTGGCTGACAAGTGAACCAGAATACAACAGCTGGCCGACAAGTGAACCAGAATACAACACCTGGCCAGCCAGGTATTGTGCATGTTCATATGTAAACAATTTAAGAAGTGTACAAAAACTTGGGTTTCTACCACAGACCATTTATTCTCTTATTTTATAGTGACCATAGTGAAGCAAAGTTCTTAATGTCTCTTGGGTTTGTCTGTTTTCTTTTTGGTTAGGGTAAGTCATTATAAGCATCATATTAATAGTTGAGCTCAAGTTAGCGTAACTATAAGCATTGTTACAATGGTTACTCTCAGCTTTGCAGTGAGTTGCAACAATCAAAAAGAATGCTTGACTTACTTTGGTGGAGATTTTTGGAAGATGTGTGAGTGCCATACATTGGAAAGTGTGAAAAAGAGTTCAGTCCTCAGTAGGAATATAATTATCATGCGGTTCTACATCTTGGAGCAAAAAGGAGGAAAGCAGGGTGAGGCAGGAAATGTTTGCCTTTTTATAGACTTCAACACTGCCACCTAATGATGTTTGACAAAACCAAGTGGAGTATTCATATTTCTGGGTTCTTTTACTCTTAGCATCATGGGAAAATTTATTTCTTTTTCATTTTTTATTATTCATTATTGTTATTTTATTTATCAACTTTATCTCATTTTTTCCGAAAGTCTATCTACTATTGTGTCTACTTACATTTATATCTTGGTCTTCTTATGAACTTTCCAGCCAACCTTTATATTTCTAACATTGTGATTAGAGTGTAATTTCTACATGAGTATTTAGCATTAATTGCTTCACTACTAAATGGGTAGTTGACAACAAATTTTACTTATGTGACAATTGATAGTGAAACAGATTCATTTATTTTATTTTTTGGAATCATTTTTAGCCGATGTTAAATCCTTTATTTTTCAGAAACTGCAGTTTTGTTATATTTATAAAAGAGAATATTCATCTTAAAGAATCAAATATTAAAGGATTGCTCCCTTTTCACAGTAGAAAGAAATTGTAAGAATATGTCCTCCAGATACTATCAGGTTCAGCAGAATGAAATAACTAGAGTATCTCAGAAAAGAATTAAATTTCTCCATATTTCTTTCTTTTTTTTTTATAGGGGCAGCTATATTGTTTTAGATTCTGTATTTCATTTGCCAGTCTGAAAAATGTATAATTTGTATATATCTTCCGGGTTTTAAAAAAAAAAAAATTCAAATATTTCATCCTTTTTGTTTACTTGTTATAACCACGATATTTTGGCTGATACGTTCTATATTTCATACAAGAGAGGTGGTTTACTTTTTATTTATTTCTTTTTTATCCTTTTCGTAATGTAAACCAGAAGACAGTAGTAAATGGAATGAATATTGGTAGCAAACATACTGATCAGATCACCTCATATGACACACATTCTTTGCATGTTATACAGGCTAATCCATTATCAGCAACATGTACACAGGTTATTCCATGTCTTTTTATGCTGGGATACTTGCCAACACTTTCCTTGCTAAACAAAGAAATTCATGCCATACTAAAATCCATACTGGTTCAATTTATACCTTTATCTAGAAGATACCTTCAGTTTTCTTATCTATTGGCAATACTCCCTATTTAATATTTGGACTTCATCCTGAGGAGGGGAATTTTATCCCTTCTCTTTCTCTCTCTCTCTTCAGATATGGTCATCTGCCAAACCAAACTTTTCTTTTTGTAGTTGTTGAGGACACAGCTGTTTTCTCCTACTCATTATGTTCTACATTTTCATAGAATTGTACATATGCAACCTTTTGTCATCTACTTCTTTTGTTAGGGATCAACTTTAGTAAGTTGCAAAGTGTGAATCTACCTTTGAAAACAATCTTCATATTTATTTTATCTATGTTAAGAAAGGGTTAACTTGTTGCTTCCAGCATCAGGTAAAGATTATCACAGCTATTTGAGAAATCTAAAGAAATAGTTAAATTGTATAAGTTGTACACTCTAAAGGAATCATTGTCTTGCTCATTAACTTCCAAGATAGAGAATAGGAGCAAAAATTTAATTTTTTTCAAAGTTTTTTGATTTATACACATGAGGGATGTGATCATAAAGACACCCTAAAAACATCTACAGATGGATTTGCAGGTGTCATAGTAGTTATTAATGCATGCAATAAAACCAAAAAATTAAGTCAAATTCCAGCCAAGTAAAGGCATGAACCCATTTCTGCTCCCAGACATGGGTTCATAGCAGGAAAGATTAGACTCTTTAATCTTAGGAGGGCAACAGTCTAAACAATGGATGCTGGGACCATTAATTAGTTTGAGGAATTGGGATCCATATATTTTGTCATGCATGCAACAAAAGATATAAGTTAAAGAAAAACAAATTGAACAACAGGAAAACCAACTAGGATTTATAATAAACAAAAAAGGTTTTATTTAATTTTAGCAATTTGGTCTGTGTCTAAAAAGGAAAAAAATATAAAAGGCTTAACAGCAAGTAGCTAGAAACACTTCAAAATAACTTCAGTCAGGAGTTGTTGGGTTTTGTGGCATAACTTACATCTCAGATCAGCGAAGGGTAGTAAACAGACTGCACTGAAGCAGATTTCGGCAACAGAGGACTTGTTTTAATTTCAGCACCAACCAACAAATATGAATACCTGGATGAAAGACTCCTACTTCTAAGGTCATCTACCCACATCAAATGACCCAAAACTCAGAGAAGTTTCATTCACAAAAAAATGAATTATATATATATATATATATATATATATATATTGCATAAATAGTGCTGGTGTTAATAAAACAGTGCTTAGTGTAATGCAACAGAGCTATTAAGTAAATATTAATAAATATAAGTAGTATCCCTCACCAATAGCATGACTCAGAGTTTCATGTACAATGCAATCTTCAGGTGCTGAGTATAAAGAAAAGTAATTGGTGAGGGATAATATATATATATATATATATATATATATATATATATATATGAAAGTAACTTTTTTATAGGTATTTACTTGACTCCCACAAGGTCAAGATGTGACACAAGGTCGATTAACGTGGGAAACCCGAGTGTTTCCACTCAAAGGCCACTGGTCAAAACTGGTCATAGCATGTCCAAGCCGGTCAGAGCTTAGTCAAAGCTTGTCATGACTTGTCCTAGCAAGTCCAGGCCGGAACCAGTCCAAGCTAGTCGAAGCCTTGATCGAATCTCAGCCATAGGCCAAAAAACGATCCAATACTTGTCAAAACCGCCAGCATAACGCCAGGTAAAAGTAACTTTTTTAAACATCCCACACAGGTAAAAATATAGGGAAATAAAGTTGAAAATGCAATTGGAGTCTTTAAGAATATTTATTTAGAGTAACTTTACCAGTTTTACAGTTCTATGATTTTCAGAATTTTAATTGAGATGGAAATCTGTATGGCTATGCCATAAAACATGCACATAAGACTTGGAAACATTCATTGCTACACAGTTTTATTGTTATAAAAATTATTTTGAACTCTTTTTTTGCTATTTTTATATTTTATCAGCTTTGCTTTGTGATATTGCCAAGTCTTCTAGCTACTTGATATTTTTTTTGTTTTTCAACTCATGCACTGGCATTTATTAATCAATTTTGTAATAATTTGAAGCAATCAAAATGCTGTAGAAAGCCAGCTGCCAATTGTTGCACCCTTGGATACAGTATCAAGGCCACCCACACGAAGTGGAAGCAAAATAAGTTCAGGTGATGCTTCTGCTAGCACAAGTAAGTATTTTGAACTTTTTCTAGTATATATAAAATATTATATTTTTATCATTTGGTATATATATACAGTAGCGAGCACAATGAGCAGAACAATGTTAAGAAAAAGTCTAAATGTGAAATAACTTTTTATTTTAAAGCTTCATAGAATATTTTATCAAGGAAATATAAGGATATAAAAATGGATGATCAAAAACATAGGAACGATTAACAAAATCATACTATTATAATGGATACATCATATCCAAAGGAAAATAGCATTTATAATTCATTAGTACTCGATGTGTAAACCTTTACTTGCAATAACAGCTTGACATCTTTTGCTACATGAGCGAATTAATGTCTTGCATTCATTAACGGATATTTTCTCCCTTTCTCCTTTCAAATTAATCCATAGTTTTTCGACGTTTGTTGGATTTTTTTTCCTTAGCTCTTTCATTTAGTAACTTCCAAGAATTCTCAATAGGATTCATGCCTGGGCTTTGAATAGGCCACTCCATAACAGTAACATCCTACTCAGGAAGAAATGTCTTAACAAACTTCGCTGTGTGACATGACACGTTATCTTGCATAAATACAGCTGGTTGATTAATCCATTATAATAGTATGATTTTGTTTTGTTAATTGTTCTGATGTCTTTGATCATCTATTTTTTTCAAATGTTATATAATTATTCTCTTAACTTTATCAAAATAAGTTTATTGAGCTTTATATTTTGGAATTATATAATTTACTTTTATATATTTATTTTTCCTTGATAAAATGCTCTTTGAAGCTCTAAAATAAAGAAGTTATTTCATATTTAGACCTTTTCTTAACATCATTTTGATCTTTATGCTCACTACTGTATATATATATATATATATATATATATATATATATTCCGGGTGTCCAAATCATGTTACAGCATAATTGTCCACCCCTCAAAATGTTTAATATCTAAAAAAACAGTTAACAGTGCTTAGTGTAATGGAACAGATCTATTAAGTAAATATTAATAAATATAAGTAGTATCCCTCACTAATAGCATAACTCAGAGTTTCATGTACAATGCAATCTTCAGGTGCTGAGTATAAAGAAAAGTAATTGGTGAGGGATAATATATATATATATATATATATATATATATATATATATGAAAGTAACTTTTTTTATACATCCCATTCATTTTCTTTTTTCCAGGTTTTCAGATAAGACATTTAGCCATCTTGACACCATTTGTTGTAAGAATCACTGAAAAACCCTTTGAGTTATTCAGCTACAAAGAGAACAGTTAAAGTCATTTTGTATCATCTCCACCCTCTTCCCAAATTGCATATGGTGAGAAGAAAATGATCCTTCAGGCCTTCAGTAATGGTACCAACATTCATACTCTGGCTTCCATCTTCAAAGTTCGTTCAAGAACCATCAAGAGAATGGTGAATAAGTTTAAAAAAGTGGGGACAGTAGAGAAAAAGTGGATCAGGAGGTCACAACAGGAAGTGGGATCATCATTTCAACTTACAGCGAAAATGGTGGGCAATTGGAAAAGATTCAATTCAATTCATAAACATTCAATATGTGAGAGAGGAGTTTCATCTATGGCAGTCCAAAGAGCAGCAGAAAAAGACTTGAAAATAAAATCATACATGAAATGTGTGAAGCATTTTGTTAATCCAGGACAAAAAGTTAGAAAGTTAGAGAGGGTGAAGATCATCTTGAATAAGTTGGAAAATGATTGTGGAATATATATATATATATATATATATATATATATATATATATATATATATATTTTGAATTTTATTTCAATACTTCATCAGCTTCCAATCCTTAGCTATGATTAATTAATGATGAACATGTCACTATCGTTTAAGATCAATTTTATCATGATTCTTCTTCTGTTAAACTTAGAGAGTAATTATACATTCTTATTGCACAAATTAGAGTCTAATAGGATTATAAAAAACCTTGGAGAATTCCAATAAGATAGCTTTAATCATTTCTTAGATACAACGTTTCAGAGCTTAATCTAACAATTGGATAATATTGCTGTTACATGATTTGGACAATTTTGTTGTTACACCCTGTATATATATATATATATATATATATATATATATATATATATATATATATATATATATATATATATGTGTGTAAGAAATTTTATTTGTTTTAGTTTTTGCTACCTTTATATAAATATAGTTTCTCTTTATCTTTGTATAGATATAATATAGGTAAATAATAATAATCTGTTACTCATGAACCCAAAGAAATTTATAATCAAAAGTGATTTTAGCTTGTTTTTCTTTCTTACTTTGCAAAAGGCCTTTTTCACTATAGGATTTCTAAAATGCAATTTCAATTATAATTATTAATTTAAAAATGAGTCAGATTCCTGACAACCTTGTTATATAAATATAATATACACAGGGTCTTATGTTACAACTTAATATAATCTAGTGTGTGTGTGATATACATTTTGGTATGTTCAGTTTTATAGAATGTTGCAATAACCCATTTTAAATCATGATTGATGTGGCTTACGTTGCATAATAAGAGCGAACAGAGATCTGGAGGTTTTCATTGATTTTAATCAGGTATAACCAATATATCACATTGTGTTTGGTCCATTCTAACCTTGCAATTTCTCATGGCAAATACAGCTAATTTGGTCAATAAACATTGTGTATTGTGACAAGCAAATTTTCTCTTTGTGAAATAGGCTTGGTTGTTTTCCTATAATGGAATAGACTTGGTTATCTTTGTATGACCATTGGCTGCACTTCAGGCTTGCTCTCTTAATCACCCATAGGTGGGATTCAGTCATTATATAGTGAGTGATAACTAGAGGGAAAGAATAAAACAAAAACGATAACAAATTTGTTATTTCCACCTGAAAAGTAAATGAAACATTAGAATTTACAGTAAAATATGTTATTACTTTCGAGGAAAAGTCCCTTTGAGAAAATATCTAACCATTGGCTCACCAACCAAACTAAGCAAATCTTGAAAATAAATTTGATGTCAGATCTTGTTATAGAGTGAACGAAAACTTTTTCTTTTCCCGTATGAGAAATGAATCCTTCATTGCCAAATGTGTTGTTATAGTAGTTTTCACAGTGGAGGCTTGTATTTCACTAAGTCTGTCCTAAAAGAGTCTGATGTACAAAAGGTTAGGAACTTGCAATAATAGTTAATGATGCAGCAATCTAGTTGTGGTGGATTGATACTTCAATGTCCGACATCGACTCACTCACTCAACTCCACTGAGCCCAACTGGTGACCACTACTACTACTACTACTACTACTACTACTTATTATGTGTGGGAGAGTCTATCACAATAGAATAGGTAATGTTCTAGTATAACAGATCTAGAGCTAGAAATAATCAAGACTAAAATGAATTGAAGAAGAATAGCCATTAACAAAAGAATCTGTGAACAAAATTCTAAACAAGGAAGAAGTAGTGGACAGAAAGGGGTATTGTCAAGCTTGAATTCAAGATCAACATCAGACACAGAAACGGCTGTTATAATAGAAGTGAAAGAAAATCAATTACACATACTCACAAAAGAAATAAATAAAGCCACTACCATTCCTTAGAGGTAATCATTGGTGAAAACCAAGAACATCAATAATACATTTCTGCCACACATCAAAACAATATAAGAGAGCTGAATGACCTCATATATCCAAGTGCAAGAATAGCGATGAAAAAAATTTGCGTGACCTAAAACAAGTTTTGAAAGAACAGAAATGGAGAAAGGAGGCAAGATAAAAAAAATCAAATGCCACAGATAAAAATTTCTGGAATTAAATCTAATGATGCCACCAGAAAATCAACAAAGAAATAACAATGGTTGAGGAAAATTAAAGATTTCCTATGAATAGAAAAGGGAGGAAGCACAGAAACAAAATTGGTACACTCTGTAAAATAACAAATTGGAAATCACTAGAACCTGCAAGAAATTTTGGTTCAATAAATTTACAAAGTTACATGATAGATCTGCTCAGAAGCTTCAAAAATCATCCTGAGGAAGAGACAAATTTTAAAATGGATGACCAGAGGCAGAACAATAGTAATGGTAATATTAGCTGTTTCCTTACAAGGAAATATTCAGCCTTCTTTGACCAAGCCACCAGTGGTACCATCAGTTAAAATTTACAAAATCTTTTTCTTAAAAATTTTTTTTCAGAAAAATAGGTTTCTCAGGTTCAGTAACTGTTATCATTCTTTCCAGTAGTCAAGGGGGTTTCCTTCTTAATCTTTTGTATGAAGTAGTGTGGAACATTAACATCATGATTATCCCATTATTTTCTCTTTGACTTACATGTGCTTTCCATTTTAGCTATTGCTGTTGTTAAAAGTCTTCAAGTGATGATATTTTTGTTATTTGGTAGAGTTCTTTGTGATTTTGTAACCCTAGTCCACAAAGTTCAATGAAGAGTGGTCTTTGCTAAGGCTTTATTTACTCAAAGCCATTTTTAATCATTGATCTGAGAAAGTGATTGTATACAGTTTAGATATTTCTTAATGGGTTTGGCAGTATACATTGCATCCATATGATTATCTGATGAGGCTATTTAAGTATATGACTCAAGTTTTGGGGTTAATGTTTTGGTTTTATAGTAATTTGTGGTATTGGGCAAAACTATCTCTCATTTAGCCTCTTCTATATTCAATTTTCTTCTCTCCTCTATAAAATTTGTTATAACTGATCCATACACTGAGGTATTTGAAGTATTTAGTATTTACTCTACTTCCAAATGATTAATTCAGGATATGTGCCATCACTGCTTTCATTCTAATTCCTGACCATAGTTTCTGTTTTGGAAAGACTCTATCTTGAGTCCTGTTTCTTGAAACACTTGGTAGAGGATGTTGCTTTTTTTTTCCAAGATTATTCTTAACTAGATTACCTATGTCATCAGCATAATCATCTGTTGTGTACTATTCAAACATGATGAAACTGATAATGACCACAAAAGGCAGAATTTACTCACGAGAGTAGAACCGT